CACTTAAGAGTGGTTCCCAGAAGTGATCTGACTCAGGCACTGTGCTGAGGCACAAATCTTCCCCTGCTTCCTCCTTTCTTGCAGAAAGTAGCAGTTGTCTTCTAACTCTATTAGCAGAAAAGTAATTACCTCCCACAGCCTTGGCACTGGCTTAAGTGCAAAAATCTGTATGTGTTTCTGTGTATCAGGAGGTGGAGGAAGGATGGATGGAGTTGAAAGTCCTCTCTTTTCCCTTTTATTCCTGCCTGCTCCCAGAAGGCCATTTGTGTAAGTCTGTGTCTGCTCCTGGTTTAGGCAGCACCATGGTGTAGGCAGAATATAACCCTGCAAAACCAACAAAGGAGTAGACTCAGGATATGGTTTCTCTGAAGATCTGGACTACCAGTATGATTAGAACAGGAAACCACCCTGTCCAGCAAACCAAGTTTGATCCGAAGTTGAAGACACGTGAAAATGTGAGATGGGGATGTGCTTGGAAAGTCCCAAATGTTTTTTCTGAGGCCAACCTACTATTAGTTTCCCTGGACATGTTCCACAGTGCAACAATGCCAACTGCATTTTAGCAGCTGCATCCAGTGCACTTTCTTCTTTTTTTTTTTTTATTTTTTTGTGTGTGTCAACTTGCCGAGCATTGGTTGAAATCCAAAATAGCTTGTAAGTACACAATAGGGTATGTAGGTAATCCCATTGCTTCAGGTACAGACACATGCTTAAACATAAGCATGTTCTGCAATAACTGCCTGAACTGATGAGACGGCAACCATGCCCTCTCATGGTTTTCTTCCTGAGAGAAAAATACAACATTATATAATAGCTCTAAAACACCTGCAGCATCCCTAACAGTGTATTTCTCATAGCTTTGAGAAAGATCAATGTTGCTTGGTCTAAGCTCTTTTCCTGCTTTCTTCTCTATTTCCTCAACTCCCCAATTGTGTCCTAAACCTTAAGGTTGATGCAGTCATCTAGAGGCTGAAAAGGTCTTGACCTGGTATAAAAAGCAATGCTGTTCCCATGTAATAAATATTTGAAATGTTTTATCAGTGTAAATAAATGCTAAATTCTGTGAGCCCAGGGAATGGCATTAATGTGTTTTTCTTACTGAAACATTTATGGAGTCAGTGTCAGCCAACAGAATGCAACCAAGAGGATTTTTCTAAAGGTAAACTGAAATGCTTTTAAAATAAATACTAAGAGCTGTTTAAGATCTTCAATTATTAACAGAAGAAAAGTGTGGGCTGAAAAACTGCAAATAATCCCTTCTGTGGCGCTTTGCCTAACCTCTGTGCAGTTATTTCTCTGTCCACCCTAGCTCCTCAAGGGAGATGCTGTGCCTTCATGGATATCTGGAGATTGTCTAGCACATGGAGAGAGCTTCTATGAATTAATAAGGACATTTAGAATGCCAACTATTTTGAAACCGTTTATTTGTATATTTACTTGCCAGGACATAAGTTCAGGACTCTGTGTTTATGGTTGGCCAACGATGGCATTGCCAGCCTTTGTAAAGCAGTGTAAAAACATGGCACTTCACTCTTCTGTGAGAAGGCGCTTATTGGCATCACCTACTTGAAATCCAGAGGCCAACTTGGTGTTCTGGTCAGGTGACCGGGCATTCTGATTTATAGATGATTATAAGCTGCAAAGCTCATTGCTAGGAGTGCAAACCTTGCCTCCACAAGGGAGAAAATGCCAAAGATGTGCTATGGTGCATTACAAAGAGTAACGGACAACTGGGACTGTATTGACTCTGTATTGTGGGCACCCACGTTGAGTGATATCTGTGTGTTGCAGTATGCAAAGATTAAGACCGTGCATCAGTCGGGACAGAGAAGTTTTGGAGTTTTTTTTCCTAAGTTCAACCATCTTCCTCTGCAAAGGAAAAGAACATATAAAAGTGTGTGGAAGTTCTTACCATTGGTTAGAAAAAGATTTGTGACTGTGTGTAAGGGAATGATTCACCTTGATTTACCCTGATCAGAAATGCATCTGATCAGCCACAGACACTGATCTCACACCTCTTAGATTTCAGAATGCAGATTTGATGCATTTTGAAGCATGTGGGTTTTTTATTAAAAAAGTGTCTCTGTCTGTTCCACCTACCCATGGCTCTCCCCCAAGTCCTTTAATTCTTCTTTATCTGCTCTTCCTGTTCTCCCAACTTGCCGCTGTACTGACTTTTCTGATTGTCTGGGCCTGATTCTTCACACCATTCTTTGCAACATCTGTTCATGTTGCAAGTGGCTGCCTGAACTGAGAATGAAGTAACTTACTGGCAGCAGATGTACTGCAGCAATAATCTTGACAACAATGCAGGGAGCATGGGGATATGTGTATATCCCTTGCCCTTCTACAAGTAGCATTCATTACATCTTCTGACAGGACATTTCTAAAGTTGCTACATAGTTAGTGGTTATAAACTTTTAGAAATTCTGTGAATCCTTTAATGATAATGCATGTAAGCTTTCTAATTAGCAGATTTAATCACCCAGATTTAAAAACAGAGTGCCCTAACAGGGTACTGCATAGCACACAGATATCAACTCTTGCTAGCAGTATTCAGTAGCTCATCTCTTCTTCAGTGTTGGTCTATTATCCTCAAGAAGCTTGTTTCTAATTAAGCTAACTGAAGCTCCTGTAAATCTTCTGGTGCTACATGTTCCCCTTAACTGTCTAAACACCTTGTCATCTCCTGTTTATGGTGCAAGCTTTTGATTTCACAAGCACTACTTTGTTAACACAAAGGGCATTGATTTGTGCAGGTGATATCTTCTCTGGACATGTGTAGTACACTGAAGCACTCTCATGGTGTGGGTGATAATGAAGCTACACTTTAGAATGAGAGAGCTTTTTGTTCATCACCGCATCTGTCCTCAGTACTCTCTCAAAAGCACTGGATACATCCTATGATGAATATTAAATCAATTAATAATAGTAATTAAGGGTAAAATATGTAAGACCTGGTATTAGAACTCTTAACCTTGTAATCTTGGCTACATTTTGGATTAACAAGGCTTCTAAAATCACTAAAATTTGAGGCCTTGATTTGCTTTTGTGTAGATTTATTTGAAGCTACAAATATTTCAATCTGCAAGGTTTGTGGTCTTTTTTCAGGTTCATAGCCATCTACAGTCTTTTAAGTTTCTTGTGTTGTTATACATTGTTTGGGAGAAGGTGGGGCACTGTTTTAATTTTCTGGTGAATGTTACATTCTGGACTGCTGTAAAGTATTGGAGTGATTTTGATGTGGACTGCAATTCATTTTTTGTATATATTTAGGATTAGTAAACTAAATGAGGTGAGTATCTCGGGGAAAATGTTGACTGCCTCATGTAATCACAGGAATATTTTTTCCCCAGAGACATTACTTATCCAGAGTAAGTAAGCAGAAATATCCAGAATACATAGAGGTGTATATATATATCTCTATACACCCACTCTTGTATAAGATGAATTCTGATCCTGTCAGTATTGTTCTCCATGTAAACATCTCTTTGTGAAAGTCAGGATGTTTCATGCTGAACATCACTCCCTTTGGATAATGAGCCATTAACAGATAACTGAACTGACTGCAGATACCTGATGAAAAGGTGTTCTGACTAGAGGGATACTAGCAGCCAGATTTGGATTACTAACAAGGCAGTGAATGATCTCGCTGGCCTGGCAGCTGATGCCACCTTTGATTGCCTCTGCTGCATTCCATCGTGGCTGGGGGAGCAGGCGCAAAGTCTCAGCCTTAGCTGTGAATTGATAAATGGATTGTGTACGACTGAAAGTTCTTGTCAAGAGATGTGTCATCCCTATTAGAAAGTATTTAAATTATTTTTTTTTAAGTAATAGGAATGAAAATCTCAGATCTTAGATGATAGATTTTAAAAGTTAATAGCTATCACAAATTCTCTTGGCAGATGTATAACAGACATTTACAACTCATGAATCACATTTTTCAAAAAATCACAGCTAATATCAGCTTCTCTAAGGGGATGACAGCATTTGCAGGAGACATTAATGGCTTCTGGCTCTCAGTCATTGCAAAATCATGAGCTCATAATTGTTCTGATCTGGCTGTTTGTAGACTGGAGAGTTCTAGAGGTCTCTCAGTACTTCCAACATTAATGACTTGTCAATGGCAGTGGTTGCCATCGCTGCCACCAGTGATAGTAACTTTAAGGCCCTAGTAAATGCAAGTCCTTGCTAAAGGCGTACAATGCTGGCTTTGTTATTCTGGTTTTACAAATGAGGAGGAGACAGAGAGAGGTCCGTGAATCTGCAGCTTGAGTCAACTGCATCTGGGCATACAGCTGCTTAGTGCTTTAGCAATCTCAGCTACAATTCATCTTCCTTGGGCCATTCTGGAAATGTTTGGGTAACTCATGATTAGGACTTGTACCAATCCCATGCCTTCCCAACAGCCATGTAATAATAATTTGTTCATACCCCTTTCTAGAGATCTGGACAACCTCTGTTATAGAGTGATCCCTGTATCTTGAGGTAAAACCGGCACTGCTGGTTCTGACTCTCCGTCTGTTCAGACTCAAGTAAGGTGAGGTGGATCTGGAGTGCAGGGAGATCCAAAGAGGGCCAGGAGTTCTCAATCAGTATGGGTTTGGTGGTCATTTAGCAGCTCAGGCTCTGACTGAGACTGGTTTGACCTCTGGAAGAACCTAGCATCAAAGTAGGGACATGACTTCAGTTGCTGTCTCTCCCTATGCTCTGAGGTGCAGCTCTGTGATACCCCAGCATTTGCCCTCTTGTGTGTCTCCCTGTTCTTGTCCTGTTTCAGTTCTGGTTGTTTTTCCCATGCTTTAACTTTCCTCAGTACTGTCTGGGTAACAGCTTAGCTCTGGTTTTAAAGAACCAAGTGGTGGTATTTCAATGACAGGTAAGGTAATACCTGTTTTACTTTAGTCTGTGATCCAGGCTGAGATGGTAAATCTGTGAAATGTTTGGGCTCTTCTGGAGGGAGGTGATCTGTAAATGTTCTTCTTTACATTATCAAGACAATGAGTGAAGGTGAGGGGAAATGAAATAAAAACGACATATTATTGTGCAAATTATAGCTTCTCTAAATTTTGTTCTCTTGCTGATAAATACTTCCTTCTGTTCTCTCTGCAGGTCTCCAGGTGGTTTTAAATTCAATTATCAAGGCCATGGTCCCTTTGTTGCATATTGCCCTGCTGGTGCTGTTTGTCATTATTATCTATGCCATCATTGGACTGGAGTTATTCATGGGGAAGATGCATAAGACCTGCTACCATGTGCAAGGGGGACTGATAGGTAAGGAGAATGATGTATTGTACACACAAGCATTTTTCTGTGGGAGGCTTTCCCCATATATAATGGAACATTTGTGCTGGCACAGGAGACGGGTGGCTGTTGCTCCCTGCTGTGTACCTGGTTGGGGTTTCACAGTGGTGGTTCCTCTGTTCTGCTCCTTGGACAGAAATCAACTTTGATGTAGAGTGACTGCTTCTAGCAATGAGAGCTTAGCTTGCTTATCATGGGCACTCAGTTGTCAGCCTGTCTGTAAAGGCTACATGCAAAACTGGCAATTTCTGCTGAACACAGTAGTGGGCTTTTTAATGTGGACCTTTGGCACTACAAGCCAGCCTGAGTTCTTCAGCATATCTCCTAGAGGCTCAAGCAACTCTAAAATAGTGATGATTTCACCACAAGCAGTCTGAGCTACCAATGAGATGGCATCGTGAAAATTAACAACTCTCATGTTCTGTTATTAATCTTGTACAGAAATAGTCTTTATTTTAACTGAGTATCATTGTAAAGGAATATCTAAGGGAGGCTCGTTCCCCTTTTTTTTAGCCTCAGGCTGTGACCATGTTTAGAAGTCCAGCTGGTAAGAAAACTATATTATATTAATGGAAAGAAGATTTTTTGCACCAAATCCATCAGGAAAGAACTTTCAAATTATTTACAGAAATAAATATTCAGATTTCAAAATAATTCAGTTGTGTTGTCACTTACTCATCTAGTCATCTGCTCTTCTTAATTCGATTTATTGAACTTGAACAGCAGTGATTTCCCATGTGGTGGTAGGTGCCAATGTCTAGGACTCAGTTTAGCTCATAACCAAGAAAGTATTGTACAGCAGGAAATAGTTTCAGAAGTTCTATATTTTCTGCTTTTATAATGTCAGCATATTTCATTTTTTGGGAATGATGCTAGAAATATAATGAATGGTCAGTCTGGTTTACATCTTTTAAAAAGTGTGTATTTCTTTGTACTTTCTGGAATTATTTACATTGCAACATCTAATTCTACTATTGCTGTTTCTGGCATGCTTTAGTGACCAGAATGTGATCATAACTTTTGGAAAATTACAGGTTTTGCTATATAAATGAGAAACAATCATAATTACCTGCTCCCCCACATGAACCTACCTGCATCTGCTATAAATATAGCACTAAGCTCTGAAATCCATACATTTTAAGAAATCCTATTGTAGGAGGCTTTGTGCTTATAAAAATGCTTTCTGTAGCATTTTCCATATACCAAAGCATTTAGACAGGCTTGCTGTATGGCTTCTCAGATCTTTGGAACACCTGTACTACAGAATAAGGGGTAGATAATCAAGCAGTAGCCTTATAGAGCTTCTCAGTGTCACTGGGCTATTGATAAAATGCCACACGGCTTCTAAACTCCAGAAGAGCAGAGCTTGAGAGACCTGCTGCTGTAATTGAGCAGTGGCCCAGCACTGCCCCAGCCTGTCTCCAAAGCACTGAAGCCTGTCTGCTGCAGGGGTTCAGCCTCCTTCAGCCAAGTGCCAGTCAGTGCTGAAGCTCCCTGCCAAGATTAACCCAGATGCCAGGTGACTGCCGAATGAAAGCACTGGTCATAACATGCAACCCAAAGAAATGGAATAGACTTAATTTAATGCTCCCTTTCATGTTGAAAGGAGTGATTTCTTCCTCACAGGAGGGTATGCTTTAAAAAAAGTCCGCCTTAGTTTTGACTGTAAAATTTGACAGCTTCGCCATTATTTTTATGAAAAGAAAGTGAAGCGCAACAGAACGTCCCTCTGCCTATTAAAATTAATACAGTTGCTTGTGTATTCCTAGAGAAATCTGTCAAATTCACCGCAAAATGTATTTGTTAAAAATCATATATCCTTCACTCACTTATCAGTGTGTCAAATAGCAATTGGTTCTCTTCATCTCCTTTTCCTCTCTTCTCTCCTTTAAGATACACCTGCAGAAGATGATCCATCTCCCTGTGCCCCCCAGTCTGCACATGGGCGGCAGTGTCAGAATGGCACGGAGTGCAAGGCAGGCTGGGAAGGACCTAAGCACGGCATTACGAACTTTGACAATTTTGCTTTTGCCATGCTGACGGTGTTTCAGTGCATCACGATGGAGGGCTGGACAGATGTACTGTACTGGGTACGTATCCGTAAAATGATAAGCTGAAAGGCCTGCTCACATGCTACGGCTGTGTTGAAACTTCAGGCCTTTAACTTTCTTGCTTGTTCTGTATAGTGAAGGCATGATTGCTGGCATGAAGCTTTAATTAACCCAGAATATTAGTGGGTAAAATGGGAGGGTTTATCTGGTGCAGTTAAAGCCAAAATGTAAATGTTGACTTCCCATTGATATTTTAATGTTGAAAGATGGCACATGGCTTACTGGTTTGAAGATTTGCAATGTACCTTTGTTGTGCAGAATGTCATGTAAAGACTCTCTCTGCAGGAGCGAAATATCTCGTAAATCTCCAGATTACCAATGTAGAAGTATTTGTGACAGATAACTGTGCGCGCTACTCATGGCATTAATGTTACAAAGGCACTATGCTGATCAGCTCCTAGGTTTTAGAAGAAGGGCCTCACAAATCCCTTTTCATGCCAGCACTACTCCTGATTACGACTTTTATCATAACAGTATTAGAATAAATTATCCTAGCTCAGATATTGGTATAGAACATGGTTACATGTTTAGCCGAAATATGATATTATCTTCAATCTAAACACAGCCTCAACTTGTCCTTTACCCTAATTCTGGAAGTCTTGATAGCTGTAGTTTCTACCTTGTAATTCCCAACATGTTAGGAAATTCAGTGGCAATACAATTATACTATAGGAGTTAAAATCAGATTTAGCCTTCACCTGTAAACCAGATATAAACGTGTTTCTGGATTTGGCTCTCGCCATCAACTTTTGCAGCAGTGTGTTATGGTCCAGGAATTTAATAAACACACAGCTCAGTCCTGTCTGTATAAGGCTAACCTGGACTCTTGACTAACTTTGAAGACTGATATATTATGACACCAGGTTCTCCAAGATTGTAGGTTGTTCTACAATACATGGAATTTAACTCAAGAAGACCCGAATTACACAAAAGGATAATCTGGACTGAGGCAGCTTGCACTGTTAATCAACATCAGCTGCTCTCTTAAACATGAGCCTGAAGCTGCCTTCTACCCACCAGTAAGTTTGAGTTTACAAGATTTCCCTTTGAAGATTTAGCTTATCTGCCATAGATAGTCTCTCTGTGGAACAGCTAGCAGTTATCTCTTTATCCTCGTAAATTTAGATTAGAATTGTGACTCTAGCTTCCTTCTAATGCCTGAGATAAAGAGTAGAGATCAAACCACAAGGGAAGTCTGGGTCTTAGGGTGTAAAAGTTGCCTTTACTTGAAAAGAGAGTGTAGATTAATAAAATAATGTAGAAGAATAGAAGTTTAAGTCAGAGAAGGAACTGGCGAATACTACTCCATGGATCCGCTATGGCTATATATAATATATCTGTCTTTTTATCACATTTAGTCTTTGTGTGACTGAAAGGATTTATAGGTAGTTGAGGGGAGATAAGAGTAAGTAAAAAGTATCAGAAATAAACATGAAAATAGTTTTGGCAGTATATACCATCTAGTATTGTGAAACCTATCCACAAATTATCATAATTTTCTCCCAAAGCACGTGTTATGAAAGACCATGCCAGTCCCTCTGCTTTTGGGTCCATGTGTCATTTGCATGACTGGATGTGAATAATTCAGAACTCAGTTATCAGTTATCTAATAACAGGAGCCAAAAGCATATACTCACTGCTAAGTAGTTTTCTACCATGACTGCTGCAGATGATCTGATTTTTCTATGGCGTCCTTGCAGCAACCTGGGTTTTAGCTGTTGGCTGTTGTTTGGTATTCAGCCCTCTTTCTTCACTGATTTCCTGAGCTGTTCTTTTTTCTTTAGAGACAGTATGGTGACCTGAGACCTGAAATTAATACAGAAATAATGGTCATTATCTTTAGGGGCATCCATATAATTAGCCTTTCAGACTGTGGCTTAGGTAGAATGCTTGATTTGGAAACAAAAGAAATATTTGTTATTGTCAGTTCCCAGTTATTCCTAGGCAAGACTACAAAAGATAAGTGCTAGCACTGCAGATAGAATTTCAGTAATTAAGGAGGAGGAGATTTAGTTTGTAAAGAAAAAAAACCCACATAACCTGTGTTTAAAGGCCATGAAATACAAAGTTTGAACACCTGAGCTGACAGACATACCTGGTTAAGCTGCTGTAAACAATCCTAAGAGTACTTTTGTACCATATGACTTTTTGTCTCTTTGTATTATATTGACAAAGTCGGTAGAAGTCAGCTCTGACCTGTGTTTGCCGTGGGGTAAAGAAGGTATCTGAGATACAATGTGTATTTCCTTCTGCAGAGAGGCCTGTGCTACTCTGGGGACAGATGTTGACTGGACAATTACTACAGGGCACACCTATGAGAAGCATTGTGACTTTAATATTCATATGTAGAAAGTCTGTAAACATTCACACTGTAATTTCATGTGTGGGTGTTTCAAACCATATCTATTGTGGTTTATAGAGTAAACTTTTATAGTCCACGAAAAGGGCATTGTAGCTTAAGCTAGTCAGATCAAAAGGAAGAGGATTTCTGGATAGTAAAGAATAGAAAAGATACAGCTTTTCAATTTCTGTTGAAGAAAGAATTTTAGAAAGTAAGATAGGTTATAAATATATATTTTAAACTTCATGTGAGCCAGTGTTTCCATAATGAAGTCTGACTCATAGATAATTCTACTCCCTGGACTTTGCCTTTTCAGTGAAGGAAGAGTAGACTTGTAGACAACACATTTTGAGGGTTGCATCTCCAGAAGAGTGGACAGATAGGAGGGTATTATTTTCTTGAGTAGGTAACACATTGAAAGATCTCCTGGATCCACAGCGAGGTCATGGAGATTAAATTTTGCTTTATTAGGAAATAAATCTGCACAGTTAATTAGATTAGAAATACAGAATTAAAGATCCCCTCTCTCCAACTATATACTGAGATAGAGGATTGGCTGTCCATTTTATACTGAAAGGAAAGTACAGTTTAAAGAACGGTGTAACAAAATGTCTGCAAAACAGACAGTTTTGCAGCTGAAAATTTGAAGTGATTATTTTCAGAGGTCATTCCTTAAACTTAATGATGTTAACTTAATGGCTTAATATTAGAAGCACTGAGCATTCAAAGTAGACTGTTAGATTCTTAACTCCTCTGCAACTCAGGGTAGATAACAAGGTTTGAATTTGGGGTCAATGACAAAATTCCAATTATCTTCAAAAGGTCAAGATCTCACCTTCTGTTTTGTAAAACCTTGATTATGCTATTGAGATTTTCCACATGCAGTCATGTGTACAACATGAGGACTTACAGATGCCTAATCAGGGCCTTGGTGTCTGTTGTGATAGTCTTCCAAGGACATACATGTGGATGTAGGGAGTTTTCTTTGCTCCCTCCTTAAACCTGAAAGTAAGTGCCTGCCCTAAAACTCAGCAGAACACCAGATAAAGCTCTGGGCTTAATTACTTGGCTGGAAATGTTTAGACATGGAGCAATTCCCTTGGCCTGAAATTTTCTATTAGTGCTTTTCAATTGTATCTTCCTATTTTCTGAAAAATAGCTTTTGAAAGGAAGATCTCTGCATTCCTCTCAGTGGGAATAGAGGGAGCCTAGCACGTTTCAGCATGTTGCCCTGAAAAATATACTAGTAATTTAATGAAACCTCTGTCTTGTGCCACACTTTGCAAGGTCAAACCTGCATGTTTAAAACTTAGAAAGCTGTATGACCTTCCACAAGCCCTGAACTCCTAATCCACTTAGTAGGTCCTCAGATTTTACATTCAGTTTCCTGCCTCCTCCTTCATGCTCCCCTTATGCCTCCTCCGGCTTTTCACCTCTGTAGCAAAGCCTGTTTTCTCTCTCGTGGAGTACTATTTCCTAGCCTGAGATCCTCATCCTCACAAAAAGATAATCAGAGATAGGAAAGCCATAAACTTTTATTCCCTAGAAGGACTTGACATCAATAAGATCAATACACTTTCCAATCTCCTCTCTCACTCAGCAGATAAGACTTGTGAGTAGATTGGCTTCTTCTGAAAAGTGAAAGAGAAATGTTAAGGACAGCAGTTTGACACTGCTGTAGTGGCAGGTAGGATAATTACTTACAAGGAGCCAAATTTTTAATGTAAAATAACTATATTGAACAGGATTAAAATCTGTGCAAAACAACCTTGTTGACACTTACTGAAGAATTGATCTTTGGTGAAGGGAGTGTTAAGTATTTATAGGAGCACATCTCCTATACTGGAGTCTTACAAGGTTTTCTTTGACCCAGTGTAACCGCCAGGTAGCTTTGTGTCATAAGCAGTCAGTTCATAGAATCATTTGAGTAGACAGGCACCTCATGTCACATAATATTTTTTCCTATGCATTGCAGAAAGATTCAACTTCTGATTCTCAAAACTCTCCTTAATATATGATCAGTCAGCATTAGCAGCTCGCTCCTTGTTGAGGCACCAAGGCCCATTTCTGAAGACCCCTCAGTCTTGGAAACTTCCAGCAGCAGATGCAAATCCAAATGTTACAGAGTCATTTGGTATTTTGTCTTCAGTCTCTGCTCCATTACTTCTTATTGTCTTATTGAATAAGGAGGAAAATTAATCCCTGTGCAGTTTGTAACATCCTGTTTAAGTGTTTGTAGGGAGTTGTTGTCTTCGCTTAATCTTTTTCTAATCTGAGCAGATTCCGTTCTTTCAACCTTCCCTAATGGGGGCTCCTTTTTAATTATTTTTAATCAGTTTGTTACTGTCCTTTAGGAGAAGCTTCACTTCTCAGTTAAAAATAAATCAGACAGTGCCCTGTCCCTAGAAAGTCTTTCATCTTTGTGTGAAATGCTTTTTCTGCAGCTGGAGTCCTGTGACACTGCATGCAGATCTGCCCACTGCAGCCTCAGTTTTACATGTCTGGTCTCTCCAACGCCCTGCATCCAAGCAATTATATATAAAAATGAAAATTGAGTGCAAAACGCAATCATACGTTGTTGCATTGGGCTATTCAGACTGCTGGGTAGTGGAGAACCTGATCCCGAGATGTTCTGCGT